GCGCGCTGCGGGGGCACATCGGACCCGGGGGTCCGGGTCTCAGTCGGTCTCCCAAAAAAAGGGGGCACGGGGCTGCCCGTGGTGTTTGGGGCACGAGTGGAACCCAGAAGCCATCTTGGGAGGTGAGGAAGCAACCGCGACGGCTCCCGAGGCTGCGCCCCGCGCGTGGACTCCCCGCAAAACTCCCCGCGACCGCGTCTCCCCGGTGAAACCCCGAGCATCGGGCCGTCGCCGAAGACGGCTCCCGCGGCTTTGTACTCACTCTGCCCTCGAAGTTGTTCTCCTCTACATCACTCATGTCGGCCAGGCGCTCCCCAGAACTAAATAAGAGACAAGTTTCGCCTTGAGGACCGGAGACCTGACTAACCCGCTGACCGGAGCGTGGGGAGAAGGGAAGAGTCGGCGACAACGGCCGCCCCACTCCACTCCCACTCGGTCGCAGGTTCCTACAAGATGGCGCCGGCGCCGCCGGAAACCTTCTGGCCGCCCCAGTGCGCAGCGTAAGGGGGCGGGGCGCGTTGTGACGTCACGACGCCCCGCCCCCAGCACGGCTCGCTTGCCCGCGGGCCCAGCGAAGAGGTGGCGTGTGCTCCGAATCTGGGCGCGTTGGGACCTAGTTCCCTGCCCCGACCTCCAAACTTCAGAACCCATTCTAATGCGTCCGTCCTTTTGAAGGTTTTCAGCCATCGGGTGAGCTTTCACTGGCCGTAGCACTTTTACATATTTTCCAAGCGGATTCTGATGGCACAGAAAAAACTGGGAGCGTGTATAATTAGTTAATAGGCTTTTATTTTGGGGTGTTTTCAGCACTATTACCTTTCTTCAACATTTGTGCTTTGTACTAAACAATCGAAGAAAAGATTAATGGATAGCAGAATTCCTTCCAATAACTACCTAACAGCTTACAACTACCGCCAAATGACTTTTAAAAGTTTACTAGGACAAGCAATACTAAAAATGAGCAATTTACTCATATCTATCCTTCAGATTATATTTTTAAAAATCCAATCTTAAAGAAATTAAAAATAGTCTTTTTGTTTAGAATCTATTTAAATCTCTTTCCTCGAAAAAGAACAAAAGCCCGATTTAACTGTCTGGTTCCAGGTGTTTATATTGAAAAGAGAGAGAGAGAGAGAGAGAGAAACACTGACTTGTTGTTCCACCCACTTACGCATTCATTGGTTGCTTCATGTATGTGCCTTGAAAGGTGATGGAACCCACAACCTTGGCACATTGGGTCGAAGTTCAACCAAACAAGCTACCTGGCCAGGGCCCCTACTAAATTTTGATTTAAAAGGAAATATTTCCTTTAAATGGACAAGTTGTATTTTTCCTCTTCATTTTGCAATAATGATCTCCAAGATCTCCCAAATTTATATACTTGATTCCCAAGCATGGTAATAATTTCTTGTGACTGAGCTTTATTTGTATTTTGCAATTTTTGAGATTAATTTCCTTATAAAAATATTTTTCCCATACACTTTTTGACATGGACCTTCAACAACAGTTCTATGTTAGGAAATTTAACTAAACATTATGAAGATTGCTACCCTTGGCAAGATTTCAAGATTTCAAAACCTCTATTGATAAAGCTAAACATATAACATTTGCCTTTAAAAAAGCTGTTGATGCCCTGACCGGTTTGGCTCAGTGGATAGAGCGTCAGCCTGGGGACTGAAGGGTCCCAGGTTCGATTCCAGTCAAGGGCATGTACCTTGGTTGTGGGCACATACCCAGTGGGGGGTGTGCAGGAGGCAGCTGTTCGATGTTTCTCTCTCATTGATGTTTCTAACTCTCTATCCCTCTCCCTTCCTCTCTGTAAAAAATCAATAAAATATATATTTAAAAAAAAAAAAGCTGTTGAGCCGAAACCGGTTTGGCTCAGTGGATAGAGCGTCAGCCAGGGGACTGAAAGGTCCCAGGTTCGATTCCGGTCAAGGGCATGTACCTGGGTTGCGGGCACATCCCCAGTAGGAGATGTGCAGGAGGCAGCTGATCGATGTTGCTCTCTCATTGATGTTTCTAACTCTATCTCTCTCCCGTCCTCTCTATAAAAAATCAATAAAATATATTTTTAAAAAATAAAATAAAAAAGCTGTTGAACTTTATGGGGGAAATCAGGCTGATATGATTTGAACCTCCTAACACCATTAAAAGAGGCAACCAGACATGATACACCTCTTCATATGATGCATAGTAACTACACAGCACCTTCTATGAAGTATTGTGATCCTCCAGATTGAACTCAAATCTCATTAAGCCTTACTTAGATATAACCAACAGTTAACGGGTAATACAGGGCGTAGAGAAATAAGTTTAAAAACATACACCGAGAAAGTAATTAACTTCCACAGGACAAATATCCCCAACAGATTAAATAAAACCCAGGGTACAGGGGAAAAGTATTACAAGAAACCACTTTTCTTGTGTCATATTAAACTGATACTGAAAGCACTTTCAGAAGAAAAGTCAAGTGCCCCCTCTCACTCTCTCTCTCTGGAGCATACCTCCCTAGTCTTCTCTCAAGGGGCATACCTTTCCTTGCTCTCCTAAGCAACAGGGGCCCTTCTTTTGCCTCTAACTTGTTTCCTGAGCCCATGCAGCCCAGCTGGCTCACTTTTTCTACCTCTGTGACTTTCTAAATAAACTTCTGCTTGTATTTGAAAAAAAAAAGATAAAAACTGTTATAACTTTATAATAAATATCTAACATCTCAGAGACAGTAGTTTGAGAGACAATAATTATTTAAATGGAAAAGTTGTATTTTTCCTCTTCATTTTGCAATCATTTTGAGCTTATTAAAAAAAAGGCTTTAAAATAGTACAAAGAAATTTCTTCACCCTGCTCCCCCAAGTATTAATGTCTTACATTTTAACAGCATAGTCATCAAGAACAGAAAACTGACACACTAGTAACTAATCTGCAGACTTTATTAAAATTTCATAAATTATTCTACTAATGTCCCTTTTCTGGGCTAGGATCCAATCCAAGATTACACATTGCATTTAATTGTTGTCTCTCTTTAATCTGGATAGTTCCTCAGTTATTGTCTTTCATCTCCAGTCTTTGTCTTTTATGGCCTTGAAACTTTTGAAGAGTACTGGCCAGTTGTTTTGTAGACATATTTAATTTGGGTTTGTCTAATGTTTCTCCTGATTAAATTCAGGTTATGCGCTTTGGCAAGAATGTCACAGAAGTGATGTATTCTTCTCACTGCATCTTATCTGAAGGTACATAATGTAACTGTGTAGTAACAGGGATCATCTCCCTGGATAGCTTGCCAACTGGGCAGGGCCATGTAGACTTCTCCTGGCTTCTTGAGTCAGGTCCACAATAGAATTTGAATGAGACATGATTTATCATTATGGGGCAGGGGTATGTATACAGGGGGAGGGCCAGCCTTTTGTGTTCCAGGATAGTTGGTAGCCTTTATTTTTTTAAAAATATATTTTTATAGATTTCAGAGAGGAAGGGAGAGGGAGAGAGAGATAGAAACATCAATGATGAGAGAGAATCATTGATTGACTGCCTCCTGCATGATTAGGAATCGAGCCCACAACCCAGGCATGTGCCCTGACTGGGAATTGAACTGTGACCTCCTGGTTCATAGGTGGATGCTCAACCACTGAGCCAATGTGGCCGAGCAGGTAGTCTTTAGAAAATACCAGTGGGGAATTAATCAAAATGATTGCAAAATAAGAGGAAAAATAAAACTTGTCCATTAAATAATTACTAGAGGCCCGGTTCATGAATTCGCACAGCGGTGGGATCCGGCTGGTGGCCCGCACCAGGCCAATGGGGCCAGGCCAGCTGGGGGAGGGGCCATGGGCGGTTGGCTGGCCGGCCCCGCCCCCTGGTCGAACTCCTGGTCAAGAGGACAATTTGCATATTAACCTTTTATTATATAGATTGTCCTTAAAACTACTGTCTCTGAGATGTTAAATATGTATTGTAAAGTTATAACAGGCTATCCTGTTTGGGGTCTAGATTAACATTTTGGCTTAGCCTAACTGAGGCTTGTGGTGTTTTGGAGGAAATTAGCACAAATTAGCTGATCACTAGGAAGAACTGTGGGATAGATGGTGACAGGGGGCTTTAGGTCTGACCCTGTGTGGGACAAATCCAACATCATTTTACTTGCAAGGCTTGGGCTGCTGTCTTGGAGGTTTGTATGAATATAGTTGTGTCAGATCTGGCCCACTTGATTGAGGTGTGGAGTAGGGTCATGGCATACAAGAGGGAGGGACTTGTGGATGAGATATGGAGAGGTGTGGAGGTGGCAATTTCCTGTGTGGAGGAGGTACTGGCTGTTGTGATGGGAATGACTGGAGGGGTAGAGTCTATCATGGATGTGATGGGTAGAAAACAAGTTGTAATCTAGTTCAGTGAGCAGTGATCACAGCCCCAAGAGGGCCCTAACCATGGGCTAAGCAGTTGTTGCAAAGAAATGCTTTATTGTGGCCAGTGTGGTTAGAATACGTTGTTTGGCTTGCCCTAAAGGTGAAATGTTACCAGGGGGACTTACTCAAAGTTTAGCAAGGTTTTGAGGCAAGCAGTTAGTGATTTCAGAAGAATAGTATGCTATGGGTTTACAGGGTCAATTAACTGGAGGCATTTTTTGCAACTCAACTCTGAGGTTAATAGTCACCATGGTCACTTCCCTCCTGGTGTGGAGGTCATCTGGGAGGGGAAAGTCTCAATGTCCAGTTTCAACATACAGTGAAGTTGAGGGCACATTGCCTTCCTCATCTTTCTCTTGGGTGTGGCCTCGCCATCTGAGGTACAGCCATCTCCAGTGGCGAGCTCTCTTTTGGGTTGGCGCCATGTCGTCTGAAGTGTTGGTGTGCTCAGGGTGGTGGGGGCCAGTCCAGGGAAGGGTGCTTCCCGGGTGGAGATCCAGGAAGGGTAGGGCTGGCTGGTGTTAGGTTCTGAGAATAGAGGCTAGAGGCCTGGCTCAGGGTGGACCTGCAAGGATGGGCTCTACTGCTAATTGAGCAAATCTCAGTGAGCTCCATCCGATCCTCAGGGATGCACCTTGCAAAGGAGCATGTGATATCCACCACTGAGCTTTGTGGGGACTCTGTCCACAATTTGTACAGATTCTAAGTACATTGATAGGCTAATTATAGGGACGTTTTTGTGGACAGCAGTTTTACAATCCAGAGATCACCATTAAAACTACAGTAAGTTCATGAGGGCACAAACCTGCCAGTCAGATGAATGTGATTTGGCTCTATTGGGAGGGCCATTCTGCCTGGGATATAATTTGAGGCATGGTACAAGAAGGGAGCGATTCACTTAAGCATCACTTCCATTGGTACCATTTAATGCAGAGGGAGGTGAGCTCTGGGTCAGAATACATACCTGGTGGCCTTTTAAAAGGTTATGCATTTGGGGGGGGGGTGTCTTTGGAAATACAGCTAGTTGTGCCTTTTTCGTGGTGGTGAACAGTAAGCTCAGAGCCAGTGTTAAACGCTTAAGCAGTCACTCAGC